CCCCAAGTCCTTCCCTGGCCCCAACTCTAGTGGGGAATGGGTAGAAGGAAGGGAAGGCCTGTTAACTGTTGCTAGTTGGTTTGGAGAGGCAGGAAGCAATTCTGCCTCCTTCCTGTGCGGCAAGAGTGTGCCACCTCAGGGACCAATGACGCAGTGGCAACCCTGGCCTGAGTGCTGAGTCTTTGAGTGAGTGACTGACCCAGGTCAGCAGATAGGCTAGATTTCAGGTGGACACCCCCAGGCAGAACCACAGACAGGGCTCCGGCCTGTACCCAGGGATACAGAAAAGAGGCAGGCCACAGAGACAGCAAGTTCCAGGGAAAGTCGGGGACAGTCAGGTAGGCCTGAGCAGGACAAGAAGTGGCCCAGGTGAAGCTCTTGCACTTGGGCCAAGGAGGAGAAAATAGTTCCGGGCCAGATGACATGCCTCTGGGCTAAGAGGCCCGAGTTCTGGTCTTCTTCGCCCATGTGGCTGACGCTAGGCTGTCACTTTGTCCCCAGAGTAAGAGGGGGATGACCTGAGTTCCACATGCTGTAGAGAGCAGAATCAACTGTGGTGGAGGACAGGCCAGGTTGGGGAGGGAAGGCCTTATTCCTGCGGCTCCCTGTGGGGACAGACAATCATCTTGGGTTGGACAGCTATTCACTGTCACCACCCTGACAGAGCCATCTCCTTCAGCGCTTGATCTGCCCATGGGGCATGGGTTCGAGGCCCACTGCCGTGTGAGTCAGGAAATGAGACCAGGCCCCCTCATCCTGTCCCCTCTCCCCTCGGAACAGGGGCTTTCATGATTGACAAAACTGCTTCAGGAGAGAGAGAGGTCCCGAGGAGGGCAGAAGGGGCAGGGCCTGCTGTGGCTGCCAGCTCAGCAAGCTTGAGCTGCTGCAAGAGAGGGGGGTCCACAACCCAAGAACCCTGTTAGGCCAGCCATCTCTCGGGGGTCTCTTCTTGGGGACCGCAAGCCTCCAGCTTGCAGACATTGGGCCAGTCCTTGATTCTACCACCCTTTCAGGGGATATTGCTCAGATGGACACAAAAAGACCAGAAGAAAGCCTGGAAGAGGATGCTCTGTAGCCCAAGTTGGGGGGGGGTGCACGGAGGGTCGGGGAGTGGATCCCCTTACTTAGCAGGCAAGGAGGACTGGGGGTAGGACTAGGAACAAGGCCAGAGTGAGGCTTGGTGCCAGGAAGGTCTAGAATGCCAGCCCCTGGGCTATGTCTCCAGGGCAGTGTACCACCCAGCCAAGGGCCGTACTGGGGACCACAAGCCGAGGCGGAGCAGGAAGGCCTGAGGCCCCTTGCAACTCTGCCTGGAGACCTCCAAACACAGAACAGGTGGAGGAAGCTCTTGGCCACCCTACCACTGCTGTCTCTCAGAAGGTCTGTCCTGAGGAATGCCCTTGCTGGCCCAGCTACAGGCTTCTAGGTCACTCTGTGGGAGGCCCTGGGACACGAGGGAGCTGAGGTTCCAAGAAGACAGGCTCGCAGCTCTGCCCAGCAGAAACTGATTCTGAACTTCTGCCAGGCCCTTGGCCTTGACAAGCTGCAGTTCAGCACCACCCAAGCCTCTGTTCTAGGGCCAAGTTGTGAGTATCCTAGATGGACCAAAGTTTCCGAGGTGGCACCTGGGGACCTCTGTTACAGAAATGCCCAACTGAGTACAGCAGGCATAGAAAACAATTCCCTCCTCAGATACCACACACTCTTGCAGACCTCGCTCTCACCAGCCCAGGCTAGAATGAGCGATGGGCAGGCACAAATCCTGTCCTACGGATCTTACTCTACAATAAATATGAACCGTTATTTGGTCCTGAGAGCCACATCCTGGGCCTCGGGGCCCCTTCTACTTTGTCAACTTCAGCAACTGTTTAAGGAATCGCCTCTTCTCTCTTCTCTAAACATAGCCCAGAGTGGTTTTTCATGACAGCCTGCCCATTCCTAGGCAAGAGAAGGTTCCAAGCGCAATAAACAAGCCCGTTACATAATGGGATGTCAGGCAGGGATAAGTGCTTTGAAGAAAGAACAGAACAAGAGGAGGGAGGGAATGGCTGTGGCCGGGAGGGCATTTCTGCCCTCCTCGATTCAGGAGGAGCTCCCGGGGATGGGGTGCGGGAAGAATGGAGGGCCTGTAAGAGTAAGTACGCGACTCCGAAGCAAGGAGGCTAGAAGGGCCGAAGCAGAGCGAGCCAGGAAAGGGCAGGGCCTTGTGGGACTCCGTTAGGACTCCAGGCTTTCCTCTGGTGATGTGAGGAGCTACCAGGGCATTCCTAGCAGGAGGGTGACATGATTGTTTGATGCACTCTTCTTCTTTTTTTTTTTTTTTAAGATTATAAGACGCACACATTTTTTTTTTTTTTTAAATTCAGTCTGGCTCTATAGCCCAGGTGGGTTTCCCCAACTCTTCAGTCTTCTGAGCTCTAGGATTACAGGTGTGTGCCACCATACCCTGCTACCTCGATCACTTTTAAGTACACAGTTAAGCACTGTTAAATATTTGTTATAATGTACGATCACCACTCCCAGCCACCTTGGCAACTTTTCATCTCACAAGTCGGGGCCTCTGTACCCACGGAATGGACCTTCCTTCCTCCCCCTCAGCCCCGGTAACCAAGGACACCCCCGTATAGTGAGGCGAACACTGTGGCCAGCGGGGAGCGGACATTCCAACTGGGACTCTGTGAGAGGGGATAGGTTAACTTAATGAGGATGGGGCAGAAAATGAAGAAGACAGCAGAGGTGTGATGTGTCATCCCAAGGGCCAGGAGTCCCGTGGGGAGAGAGGTGGGTCCGAGAGGAATGCAGAAGCCAGGATAACGACGATAATAACACAGGAGGCAAAGAAGGATGGGAAGGGGGGGGCCTGGGGCATGTTGCTTCTGGTCACACTACATTAGAGACACTGCTGGCTGGATAAGGAAGTTAGGCTGGGGGAGGGGTGGGGAGCTTTAAACCCAGGGTCAGTTAGGATGAGGTTTAAGCAAGGCACTGGCCAAGGCTGTAAAGGGGGCAAGCATGGGTGAGGAGGAAGCCCGGAGGCTGAGCCAACACAGGAGGAGAAAAGACTCGGCAAGGCAATTAGAAGGATCTATAATGAGGATCGGAGGAGCCAGGAGGGGCTCAGGGAGGAAGCGGGGAGCCTCAGGGCTCACCACTCATGACAGAACTATGCCAGAGAACCAGGAAACATCAGCCAAGTAGAGGATGCTGGTCATACTGTCAACGAACGAACGACCTGGTTTCTCCCATGAGACAATGGAAAAGGAAAAGGGGCAGGGGGGAGGAGCTGGTGGAGATGGAAAGACTGGAAAGACTTCACCAAATGCAAAGCACAGACCAGATACAGAAAGAGGGTTCTGAGCTATTAGAGGAGCTGGAATCCGGACAGGGATGAAGTGATGTTGTGGGATCCATGAGCTCAAATGTGAAGAGAATATCTGCGTACACATAAGGAAGACGAGCAAGGCAAAGAACACAGAGCCTGGCTGAGAAACTCCAGCACAGAGAGAGCAGGGAAGGACCAGCCTTGAGGTGATGCTAGATGGGGTCCATGTGGACTCGGTACTCCCTGGATTTTTGCAGCGGGTAGCGTTTTTTCCATACGCTAAAGTGTGATCAACTCTAAGTGCTGCTGAGCAGAACAGCCAGCGAAAGGCTACGACAGGACCCCTGAATTGGGCAAGATGGAAGTCACTGGTGCCTTCGATCACAGAGTGGAGACACAATCTGGCTGTGGTAGGTTCCCGTTCTCTTATAAAGTTTGGGTAACTGAGTCGTAACTGTCATTAGGTCACACGGGGGAGGGCAGATTGGGAGGGGACAAGACTCTGTCCCACTGCCACCTTGTTGGACTGGAGAAGATGCTTTCTGAGCAACGGCGGGAACAGCATTTCCGGAAGACTACTGATCAACGAATGCAGGCCTATTCCCGGAGTCCTGGAGCCTATGGGGGAACTAATCCACCTGCTCACGTGATGGCCACTTTTCATGCTGTGCTCTTCCATCATGTTTCAAGCTGTCTTTATAGCCACTTGCCTGTGGGGTCCCACACCCCAGACCCATGGAATACTTCCCTTGGGGAATAAGTGTGCTCTGTGTCGCATGTGACTATTAGGTATCGTTGGGTTACTCTGACAAAATGCTTGACAGACACAACACAGGAGGAAATATTTATTCCATCTCATGACTCCAGGGAATCTCAGACCACCCCAGCAGGAGGACATGGCAGAGTTCATGGCAGTGGGTATGGATGATGATGATGATGATGGTGCATCTTCGTATCCTGGTGGACCAAGAAGGGTGGGACCAGAACCAGAGATCAGACGCTCACCTTCAAAGCTCCCTTAGTACCCACTTGGATCAACCAGATCTCACCTTCTAAAGGTCCGACGGCCCTCAAAATAGTTGCCACAAACTAGGCCACAAGGATTCAAAACTATCCCACTCAGATTCAGACCATGGCACTGACCATCCCCAGGCACAAACACAAGAGATGGTTCTATCACTTTCAAACTAAGTTCTAAATGGGCAATGCTGGGGACAGGGTGCCTTCTCTACGCAGCAACGTAGAGACAGGGCTCTGTCACTCCTGTGTTCAGTACATGACCTCCAAGGTCACCGTGAACTCTGCTTTAAACTAGAGAATGACCGAGCATGAGGGACGTGTGGACGTTGGAGCTGGGCGGTGGTGTGTGTGGAAGTGCTCCCCATATCCACACAGACTGCTGTTAGAACTGTCCCCAGTCCCGCCTGGAAGCTGGTGGATCCAAGGGTGTGCCCAGAGAAATGAACTGGATTGGGTGGCCTCACAGCCAGCCTGAACCCAAGACCGACAGCTCCTCCACCACCTCTGCCTCTGGCCTTCCCTTCTGGCCCTCTTCCTTTCCACCAACTCAGGCCTTGGGCCTGCTGACACACACACCCCCCATCCTGCTCTGAGGCCCGGTACTTTGTAGCTTTATCTGGCACAGGTCAAGACCCACAAAAAGACCAGCCACAGAGGGTCAGCACACAGGACATGTTTATTTCTTGTGAGCATCGAGCGTATAGAATCACAACACAGAGCAAGAAAGTGTGGGTGGCTGGGCGTGGGGACGAGGGCCTCTCCCCCTGTATTCTCTCCCGCTCATCTGCCCAGGCACAGTTCCCCCTCAAGGGTTAAACACAGAGTTAGGAGCCCGCAGCTGGAGGGTGGCCAGTGAGCAGAAGAGGGCGGGGAGACAAGATTCAGCCCTGCTAGGCTAGGGTGGCAGTAAGAGCCTTGGGACTCAGGGCCATGTGGGATGAGGTCACTCCTCCTCGCCCTACTAGCCTCTCCGTTCCGGCTGGCCAGCTTGGTTCCCCACCCCAAAAAGAATCCTGGGGAGCTTCTACCAGAAACCCTGAACCAAGGACATAGGAAATTTTGTATAGGGCATCTGAGCTTTGAGACCTTGGGTGCTCACTGCCTCTGACGAACACCATCCTCCCTGTTCCCCTTCCCTGAGCTCCCCAGAAACACTAAAGCTGCTCCTTCTCCTCATTTTTGGAAAGTAAGCAGCCTGGCAGGAAAGCATCAGACACTGAGCAGACGAGATGGAAGGTTCTAGAAACCTAGTCACTTTACCCTCACCTTGGCTGAGGCTTCTCTGAGAAGAGCCCCCATGCCACCTCGCTGCCCAAACTCTATTTTGCCTCATGGGGAGAGCTAACCAGGCATGCAGGGGTGCATCATCTGTGGGGATGAGGGGAGCCCAAAGGCTCCTCTGGAAGGAAAAAAACCACCTCTCTGCAGCTGACCAGGAGCTGAGACAGAGCCCTCTTCCAACACCTCTCTAGGATGGCCAAGGGGGTGAGGGCCAAGGTGCAGGGGAGCCCTGGGGGAGGGGCTGAGGCTACTATGGACAGATGGACAGATGGACAGATGGACAGGTGAGGGCACTGGCTCTTCTCTTACTCTCCACCCCAGCCTCGGCTCATGGCTTGCACCACAGCTCTGTAGAGTTGGCTCCAGGCGTTCCTTGTGGCTGGTGTGAAGTCAGGACCGAGGCACCTCTCCAGCATGTAGAGCAAGGACTCACCCACTGTCTGCAGAGGCAAGCGGCACTTAGTCATCTGAAGGCAGGAAGGCATTGCTCCATTTACAGGTGAGAAAGCTGAGGCCCTGGGCCAGTAAGGGGACATAGGCTTTTCCTCTCTTCCTCACAGGCTCCTGCTTCCTAAGCAGGCCCTGAGTGTAACCTGGAGCGTCACCCGGTGCCCACCTTTCCCTCTAGATGTGAGGATGCACAGTGGATAAAGAGCATTTCATCTCGCCGGGCGGTGATGGTGGCGCGCGCCTTTGATCCCAGCACTCGGGTGGCAGAACCAGGCGGATCTCTGTGAGTTCGAGGCCAGCCTGGGCTACAGAGCGAGATCCAGGACAGGCTCCAAAAACAACACAGAGCATTTCCTCTCACCCCTGTCTTTGCAACCACCTCATGAGAGGGGCCCACCACGTCAAGTGCCTGCGGGTTGCAGTTTCACCACCTGCAAGGTAGCAGTGAGATTAAAAAGCCTATATCGTGCAGCCAGGGAGGCGTGAGTTCAGATTCTGACCATCACAGCCTAGATGACCCGGAGCAGTTTGCTCTACCTCTCCAAGCCTCAGCTGCTCCATGAGAAAGACAGAGAACAAAACCCCAGGTTCTGTAAAAAGCCCTTGGCACAGCAGCTGCACATTATTATTACATAGCTGCCTTATTAATCGTCAAGTAAAAGTAGGTTTATTTATCCCACATGTGTTACTGAATATCCCCAAAGGGCCAGGCGCTGTGGAAATGCCCAGACGGAGAAGGCAGTCAAGGCCACCCCTTGTGACTGGTTCTGGCCAGCGGGACCTTAGTGACAGTGTAGAAGCTCTTGCCCACTGTGGCTTGTAGCAGTCCTTCCTTGCTGAGACTTAGCTAGCCTGTGGAAGGTTTAGAAGCTCACAGGTCACCTTAGACATCCTAGCCCCAGTGGAGTTAGACTCAACAGATAGATGACTCCAATCAGACTCCAGAGAAAGAATTAAGTCTAGCCACGAGAACTCAGAAATTGCTCTAAGGGAGGATGTTTGAGGTGGTCTGACACCTACAGAAAGATGCTCAAATCAACCGACGCCAGGGTCGCTAAGCCTTCACGGTTCTTTTTGTTTTGTTTGTTTTTTCCAGACAGGGTTTCTCTGTGTAGTTTTGGTGCCCGTCCTGGATCTCGCTCTGTAGACCAGGCTGGCCTCGAACTCACAGAGATCCGCCCGACCCTGCCTCCCGAGTGCTGGGATTAAAGGCGTGCGCCACCACTGCCCGGCCAGCCTTCATGGTTCTTAAAGAAGCTGCATTAAAGAGAACTCTGAGGCTCTGAGAGGTCCGGTCAGTGTCAGGCACAGGCAGGCAGGTAACTAGAGCAGGCCTTTATCTCTGGTCATCTGAGGAACTGGGGATGTGGAGGGAGGGTCAATGGACTTTGGGGGGGGGGGCTGGGAGAGAGTGGCGGCTGCAGCTCTGGAGCTCTAGAGTAAGAAAGTACCCCACTACCCACCGAGAAGGAGCTGAGCCTTACTCCCACAGCCCGGTGCTTCCTGCCCAAGCCGGCCAGGTACTCCTCCAGTGAAGAGAGGTCCTCCGCATGGGTCGCCGCAGTTTCAATTACCAGCATCACCTGTCAAGGACACAGAGGGTCTAACCCAATCCTAGCTGCTTACCGCCACAGCCTAGAACCCCCAACCTCTCAACCGACGAGGCTTTTAGAGCGCCGTTGTCCAGGGTCAGAGGTGGCAGGCAGCCAATGTCTGTATACAGTAGGTGCTCAGTATGTGGTGGCTCATGAAGCAAGCCCTTCTCTTTTGAGGATTTCTGTAGAACAATACTGCCCACACGGGACAAGGGTAAACTGAGGTGGTGTGAAGATTGTGAGCCCAGCCTAGCGCGCTGTTTTCCATATCCCAAGTCCCTTCTTCCCTACCAAGACAATGTTCTGCAGATCTGAGACCTCATGGCTCTGCCTCCCTCACCTTCCTAATGTGGTCCAGGAATTCTGGGGAGGAGAGACAATCCTCAGGGCTGGAGAACTGGCGGCCGTTGTACTGGAAGAGAGGCAGCAGGCTGGGTTCCAGGGTAAAGAGCCTGTGGGTTGGGAGCAGCGATCATCAGCAGTGAGCAGCAACCCAGCAGACCCTGGCTGCTCAGAAGAAAGCCACAGTACCTCCTTCCTAACGGGGTACTGCCAGCTTAGCCAAAGCCCCCTCATCCCTTCTTTGGGCACCCTCCAGAGGACACTGAGTCCTCAGCCTCTCACATTACCTGGCAGACCGTAGCTCCTCCTTAAACAACTGAGGTGACTTGAGTTTGGGACAAGCAGGAATTTCAAACCAAAATCTAGGGGAAATTTCCTTTTGGGATCCAAACTTGCCAGTGTTCTCATATCTGAGGAGGCTGGGCGGCGACATTAGGAACACACGCCTTGTACTACTGAGCCCTAAGCATTTTTTATCCATTAACTATAGTTGTATATCCCTCGTACTTTTAAGCTGTGAGTTCAGAGGAGGCAACGGAAGCCCAGAGAGACTAAGCAAGCTGCCTTAAGTAACACAGTAAAGTCACAGTGGGCGCCAGAGGGGGAGGAGTTTGAAAAAAAAAAATACAGTTGGCACAAACAGAAAATGTCAGCCTCACTGGGGGGGGAGCTTGGACTTTTGTGTAACTCTTTTGTGTAACTAAATGTATTCCCTTTCCATCTGGGCGGGGCGGGGTGTTGCAAAGTCCTTTTCTGAAGTTTTAGATTGGCCTAGGGATCTGCAGTGAGAAAGGGAGTGTGGCCTTTTGGTGATGGCAGAGCCTGGGGTGAGGCTGTAAACCAGCCGTCCTTCCGTGGGGCCTGCCTGCTCCTTCTCCCTCTCTTCCCGGTGGTGAGACTGGACGCCCGTCGCCCCTCTCCTGGAACCTCTCTGGTCCTAAGCCTGTGTTTTCCTCGGAAGAGTTCCTCTGGCTGGGGACTGGCTGTAAGCTCTCCTGGGCCGGGACGATGTGGCCTCCTTCCACTCCAGGGTGGGTGGGAGGGAGCAGGAGCCCGTCCCACGCCGCAGCGGGCCTTCGGGTCACTCATCTCCTCCTCCCAGCCCGGCCCCTGTGGGCGGCCCTGCAGTCACTACCCATTGAGACATCACAGGGTAGGGCAGAGGACACTGCATCCACCTGCCTGCTGGGGGTGGGGGGTGCGGGTAAGGGAACCCACCGGCCCCCAGTCAGTTCAGGTGGGAGTCGCTATCTGGGAAGAGCAGACGGGACAGCACCACCTGTCGCTGCGCACACACCCCTCTCTCCGGAGCACCACTGCAAGCGGAGCCCCGTTTCTCCTCCTCTGGTGACAAGCCCAGCAATCTGAAACCCACTGCTGCTGCGCCCCCCACCTCCCCACCCCGCCGCCACTTGCAGCCCGGGGCCCGGCAGCGCTCACCTGGAGAACAGGACAGTGCCATGTTCCAGAGGGCTGCGGCTCACCGCCCGCCAGCTCTGCCGGATCAGCTCCGACACTGGGCGCTCCATGCTCTCCCCGGAGAGATGCGGGACACAGGGATGGGACCCTCGGGGCTTGGGTGCAGTCACCGCACGTGCAGCGCCATCTCCGCGGCGACGCAGCGGGTGGGGGGAAGGGGGGTCCAGGCCCAGCGCCTTAGTTGGGCGGCGCCCAGCAACTGCGCCTTCGCTGGTCCAGCCGAGAGGATGCGTACCCGCTTGCGCTTCCGGGGACCCCGCTCGTTCGGGCAGCTGCGCCCTGTGCCCCAAGCTCCCAGAGAACCGCCCTTTAAAGCTACGGTGGTTCCCACCCACTCCGGCCCAGGGAGGCTTGTGCTCTCCCTCCACACCCGCCTCAAGCAGGGACTCCCCAAGGCCTGGGAAATGTCCAGGCTTCAGAGCCTAACAGAAATTGCTGAGCCTCCGGGCTTGCTTCACTCCTGAAAACTAGTAATGCACTAAAAAAACAAACAAACAAGCCGGGCGGTGGTGGCGCACGCCTTTAATCCCAGCAGGCGGATCTCTGTGAGTTCGAGGCCAGCCTGGTCTCCAAAGCGAGTTCCAGGAAAGGCGCAAAGCTACCCAGAGAAACCCTGTCTCGAAAAACCAACACCCTCCCCCCAAAAACCCCAAAAACAACAATAACCAAAAACCTGTGAGTGATGGTGCATGCCTTTAATCCCACCACTGGGGAGGCAGAGGCAGGTGGATCTCTATGAGTTCTAGACCAGCCTGGTCTACATCGTGAGTTTTAGGGCAGTCAGAGCTATGTGAGCTATGCGGATAAATAAAGGGGCTGTAGGGTTTCTGGGGCTAGCTAGCTAGTTCAGCGAGCTGCAGGTTCAGTGAGAGACTATCTCAGTTAGTTGGAGTGCCTGAGAAAGACACATAAATTAACACTATTTTCTAAAAGTGGCTCAGGTTAAGTCCTGTGCTTGCCATTCAGCGTCTGCAGCCTACCGGCTGCAGCCTGCCGCCTGTCACTTAGCACTGTTGTTCTCTTTCAAGCATCCAAGTTCTTTGGCTCCAGCGCAGTTCCATTGGCTCAGGCATTGGAGAGCACACCATTCATCTTTCACTGTTGACTCTCTAACTTCTCCTCTCTTCTCTTCTGCAGCCTCGGATGTAAGGGTCTGAGTGGTAAAGTCTCTAGAGTCTTTTGTTGCATGGATGCAAATCAGTGTCCTTGGTCTTTAGTTATGAAGAGACTGTAGCTCCATGGGCAGCCCGGTGCTGGATGTGCTCAGTCCCATGCCTTCTAGAACTTTCTAGGGGTGGGGGGGCTTTCTATCCTGTTCCAACAAAGCCCCTAAGATTGATTTCGGGAACAACCTATTCCACTCTTCTCCATCTCTCTGTTTATCTTTGGATTCCTGGACTGGAGCAGGAGTGCAAGGGCAGCCTGGCAAAAAGCCCCATCCTAACGACTTCGGGAGACCCTAGGCAAGGACCCAAAGGGAGAGAGCTTTCTGCAACCCATCTGGCCGGTCTGCATCCTCCACTCCACCCAGTGTGTACTTCCTGGAAGTCCTCACTCAAGACCCTGTTGCCTCTTCTCTCCATCAGAGGTCTGAGGAGTTCATGGGAGTAATGGACTCATGCCTTCCATGGAGGAACCAGCACCCAATTCCACAGCTCCTGTCTTCCCGAAGCCAGGGGTGACAGGACTGTGTGTTCCGATCTCTGCTCCCCTTGTGGGTGACAGAAAAACTAAGTGTGCTCTAATCTCTGCTCCCCTTGGGGAGAGGCCCCAGGATCTGGCATAGCCTAAGCAGTCAGGGAGAGGTATCCCCACCACAGATGGTCTGAATTCTGCTTTGAGGGGCTAGAGGGGATCTCTCCTTCCTGTGGGATATTCACACAGGAGGTCACAATCTAGGAAAGTTCAAGTGTTCTCTAGTCAGGGCTGTCAATGTGTCCTTAAAGAGCCAGCAGATTGGGCATGTGTCCAGACACTCTGCCCATTAGCTGTGTCCCAACAGCCCCGGGAAGGAGATGCTATTTACTATACTCTGACCTTAAAGTTAAGGAAATGAGAGGCAAGGAGGCTAGCTGGCCCAGTCGCACAGTTAACGAAATGGAGGGGCCAGAGCTTGACCTCAGTTCTGATCATCTGACTTATTCTCTCCACTGCCTCCCTCAAATTAATAGACCACAATCAAGAGCCACGTCCGTAACTCAGACTGAGCCAAGGTTACTGGGTCTGAGTCCGAGTTTGCTGGAGCTAGTTCATGCAGCCTTACAGCTGACTGTGCTTTTCATTCACAGGCACCAAGTCAGTGCCTTGAAATGGCCACAGAGGAAGCGTCTGCACCGTGGAAAAGGGCAAATGCTATAAACCAGCATGTAGTTTTGCCCCCATAGGAAACCTGTTATATTTACCTCCACTGGTCTGAGTACCCTTGGGGGAGCCCGGAAAGCCTGGGTCCTAGCTGTACATTATGCAGATCTTTGTACGAAGCATCAGGCTGAACTACACTCCCCAGCTGTGCCTAGCCTCTCCCAGTGTCCAGGGCTTCAAGGGTACTCCAGGCAGGTGCTTCCAGTCCAGAACAGGGCGGGGCTGGAGAAGCTCCAAAGACTCCTTTTGCACCAAGTCCTGCCTCATAATTTTCTAATTGTGGATCATTCGGTAAGTAATATAATCTCTCATGGGTACAATGGAGGCAAGGGCAGTGGCTTCCCTGGGCCTTAGGACTAAATGTTACCTGTATTAAAATGATGTTAACTGGCTGGCAGAGTGGTGCATGCCTTTAATCCCAGTACTCGGGAGGCTGAGGCAGGCCTATTTCTAAATTCGAGGCCAGCCTGGTCTACAAAATGAGTTCCAAAGAACTCAGTTCCAGAGAACACAGAGAAACCCTGTCTCAAAAACAAAACAAAACAAAACAAAAAACCAGATGTGTACTAAGCTATTGCCATTCACAGACAGTTTGGTCCCTTTCTGATTTGCCTGTCCCTGGCATCTTCCAGATGCCACCTCCAGAGTGATAGGAATGACCTACCTTCCTCCCCAGGCTGCCTCCTGCCATATGGACCCTAGGGAGGCTAAGAGGTAGTCCAGAGGACTCCCAGTTTCGCAGAGGCACTAATCCCTTCAACTTTGACCTTCAATCCAGTGCTGTCAGCTGTCACCTTCTGTGTATTCTATGGGGAGTGGAGGAAGCCCTGAATGAAAGTAAGGAGCAGATGAAGTCCTGAGAGAATGCAGATGAAGTCCTGAGAGAATGCGTATTATTGAAAAGGTCCTCAATGCCTCAGACCCATGGGGATTGGCAAAGCCTTCCTCTGGTGCCTGTGGGAATGTTGACAGAGTGTACAGAAGGGATGGACTCCAGCTTCTTCCTTCAGGATATCTCTTCCAGCAGGCAGAGACTGCCCCTTCGAGACCTCCGACGGAGACTAGCTAACTCTCCCCCATGCTGTGTATAATAAACACACCGAGGTTCCAGGCACGTAGCTGGTGCATCTCCATCATAACTCACATGTCCCAGCTTTTCTGCATGTGTATCTGTTCCTCCTTTTTACATCATCCCAGTCAGGTGTTCAGTTCCATGCCCTGCAGAACAGGGTGGATCCTTTATAGCTGGCACTCTTGACAGAAGACTATGTCAGGATGGGGCCCTCTGTTGATAGGGATGGGAATTTGCTATCACACTGGGCCTCATAGCTATCTCAGAATTAGGGGGAGAATGGTTCCCTTGTTTCTTTCTACACCATCTGGGAAAGTTAAACAAGAAAAAGTAGGCTCAGCTCCTTACTGGTTTTAGCTTAAGGAATGGAAACAGTCACTATCTCTCAAGTAAGCAAGTACTCAGGAAGGCCCACATTCCCCTGGTGTTAAGCCAGCATCAGATGGAATGAGAATGGCCCCAGCTATGAGGTACCATGTTGGTTCTTGCCATCTAAACATTTTTCTCAAGGCAAGTCAGATCCAATTAAGCACAACAACAATGTAGTGTTGAAAACAAGAGCTATTTATTACAAAAGTAATGGTCTCAGATTATCTCTGGAAACTTAAAAAGAGAAAGGAAGAAAACAAAGCGTGGCAAGTCGAGACACTGGCTGGGCTGGGCTGCTTGGTACATCCTCGTCCTTGCCAGCAGTCTGAGACATACCACACCTCTGTCCGTTCCTGAGGGTGCAGCCCACATGCAAAGCAGCATCCTAGAGCCCACTGCCCTCCATCTTCCAAACAGAACCCAAGCATTTAGTGATGTCACTAAGCGGCCTTTTCCCCATGCCTGCCAGTCTGGGTGTGGAAGAAGAGGGAGTAGGTGGGGAGCACCCTTCTTCCCATATTGGAAACAAGAGACCCCTTCTGTCCTCAGTGGGACATTGGGGGGGGTTGGAGCCCACTGACTCTCCCATCTACTCTGGCTCTCAAAGGCTACCCACCCCCTGGTTACTTCAGGGTTCCTTCCCTCTAACAAGTGCCTCCAGAAATAAGGCACAAGAAAAATCAGCCACCTGTTAGATGCCCCGTGGGTCACCTTGCTTCGAACCAAGCAGATTCCTGCATC